GTGTTATTCGAGCTAGCCCCTCCAGATGTAATCCAGTTTTTCACTCAGAGGTCTTGTTCTGAGTATTCACGGCAGCCGTGCGTTCTCCAAGATCTTCTCTGATCTTGGAGAGAAGATAATATCAGATCAATATTTTGATTAGATTGATAGGCCAAAAATTAGTTATAGGCCAAGCAGCCCATTGTTTTGCTATGTTATGTCCAAAATGCCTCTCTTCCACTTTGCAGTTTGACCAGCTGATCTTTTAAAAGCTGTAAGACCCGAACACTTATGTTTTATTGCTCCAGTTCAACACAAAGACATTACAAACAGTTGTTGTATAGGAATATAGTTAAATGTTGTACTTTTTTTTCTTTGTGTACCAAATGATTAATCAAAACTTTGCCCAACTTCAGTCTATGCTTAGCTGTTTGCAATTCACTTTGTGTAATGTTATAATATTAAAGAAGCATAAGAGTACATTAATAATGGCTGCTTTACACGTTTTTGGAAGGCTGAGAGGAAGAATTACACAGAGAGGAGTCACGTTGGTAAAGGTCAGAGTCTTACTCATAAACCTTTTGTCATGAGTAGATTTTTCTTGTGACTGTTTTCAAGCTATGATTGCTTTAACTTGGATCTATTACTCATGCAGCTCTGTTATTAATCTGACTGCAATATGTCATCAAAAGACAAAACAGAGAGAATTTATCCAACTTCCCAGCTCATACAGACATATTAACAAATGCCTTTCTGTTAAAAGTCTGCATATTGTGTGCATGCCATCAAATCTTTGTGTTTGTACAGACATTTGAATTTACATGGCTATTTGACTGCATAATACAGCGGATAATAAAATGCACCGTATTCTTGTTAAAACAATGGTTTTTCCCTGGATCTAAGCAAATTACATGTTAGTACAACAGGTGTGTTTGACAAAATACAGGTCAGATATCAACCAAAATGCAAATTCTGGCACACCTGTACTACCCTCATGAAGGATTTGCACATTACAAAATAAGTGTAGCTAATAAGACTAGTGTAACATGTAACATTATATACATTTAGAAATTCCTTATTTGGTTTTTTTTAATTTGCTTTTAAAGCACCCTTGAGTGTTTTGAAAGAGCCGATTAATAAAATGTATTACTATTGTTGTTGTTATTATTATTATTAGTGGTAGTATTGTTAGTATTATTATTATTATTGGCTTTTACATGTTCTAAAATGTCCTTCTGAGTAGGACATCACTTTCAAATTATGCCTTTACAAGCTAACCCCCTGAGACCCTGAATCCTCATTTGGTGACATTAAATTTTGCCTTTCAGCATCTTATACTTGATTCTGCTCAATAAACCGTTTTTACATTATATTTATTAAACATTGATGACTTTATCGGAGCTACGTTTTTTCATTCTATTTTTTAAGGAAAAATACTTTCTGTTCAAAGTAGATTCTTAGTTTTTGTGCTGACCCAGACACACTTTTGAGACACATTATTTCTGTCTTATGGACAGCTGCTTTTTCCTAAACACACATCTTGTGGAATTTAACAAAAGTAATATCATAAAATGTACTTACAAAAAGTATCCAGCAGCATCAGGTTAACATTTAACTCCCAAAACCTGTAATGTTGCCTTCATTTGTTGATAAATTCACTTTGTATCTATGTACGTAATGTATGTACATCACACTGAAATTGCAATATCATCTATAAGATTAAGATTTAATCTTATGATTTAAAATCCTTGAAAACAAAGCCTTATATTGGAAAAGACTATCAGCCCGAATAAATATGTTAAAAAGTGAATCTGCACTCACTCCATATTAGTGGTCAAAGATTTATGAAAAAATCACTGGTCTGCCTCTTCATGACTTTCATTTATGCAAATCATTTCAACGGGAGGAAAACTCTAATGACACCAACAAATTCCACATGCAAAGTACCTTCACTCAGTAAACATTTTTCAGAAGAATGGAAAATCCTCCCCTCTGCCAGCCCACACTTTTAAGAAGAGTTCCTGATCTGTTTTTGCACAACACACTGAGCTTCCACATGCAGATGTGCATAAGCTGACGCTAAAATACGAGCATGTCTGTTACTGTGCTGCTTTCCTTGGGCTGGTTAGTGCTGCAGTCAGCTCATGGGAATCTAGATCACACCACTCACAGCCAGGGGATGTATCTGCAGGGGGACTTCTCCTTCGCTGGACTCTTTCCTCTCTTCTACACTAATGGGCTGAGTGGTTTGCCTGCTCTGGTTCCATGCAGAGAGTGAGTGTTTCTGTTTTATTAGACAGAAACCCGATAGATGCATTTCACTTGTGGACCAGTTAATATTGTCAGTTTTTTCAAACTTAACACTCTTTTTTTTTCTTCTCCAGAGGCAGGCCCAACAAACATGGTTTTCATCTGTTGCAAGCTATGAGATTTGCTGTGGAAGAAATCAACAGCAAAACAGGGGTGCTTTCTCTCCTACCAGGAGTGAAACTCGGCTACCAGATGTACGATATTTGCTCCGTACCGGCCAGTATCCTAGCCACCCTGGACCTGCTCGACCAACAGTACAGGAACATTTCTACACCTGGGGCACAGAACAACACAGCCCTTAATTCCAGTGATGCTCAAACATCTGTGGCTGTGATTGGGCCAGACAGCAGCAGCAAGTCTTTCACCCCTGCTGCTTTACTGGGGACCTCTCTTGTACCACAGGTAAGTTAATACCTGGAAGTCTTTGCTCGTGTCCATGAATTATTTTACATTCCACATTCACATCTTAAAAGAAACTCATTGCTCATTGTAGATCTCTTATGAAGCATCAAGTGAGCAGCTGAGCAACAAGATATACTATCCATCTTTTTTCCGCACAATTTCCAGTGACAAGAACCAGGTAGCTGCTATGATCCAGCTCCTGGTTCGTTTCAACTGGACCTGGATCGCTCTCTTAGGCAGTGACAATGACTATGGGCTTCAGGCCATGAAGAGTCTGTCCCAACAAGCATCCAGCTACGGCATCTGCATCGCCTACCAAGGAGTCATCCCCTCAGCCACAGATGAAACAGTCAAGATCATGAGGAACATGGTAACGGACATACTGACAACCAAAGTCAATACCATTGTGGTCTTCTCCAGCAAGACGAAACTCAGTGGCTTCTTCCCATTTGTACTCGAGCGCAACATAACAGATAAAGTGTGGATTGGGACGGAGGACTGGTCAGTGGCAACTCTTATATCAGGCATAAGTGGAATCAACACAATCGGTACTGTAATCGGTGTGGCCGTCAAACCTATATCCATTCCCGGATTTGAGAAGTTTGAGAAAAAGATAGTCGAGGCTT